GAATATTAAAATCACTGAATAATGCATTGATGGGATTATAAACATTAAATACAATTCTAAATGCAACTAGTGTAAGTACCCGACTTAGACTATGTATCGTCCTCTTTGTGCAGTAAATTCAGACGGGGAGAGGGTGGGATAGCATCATGAGTCCATCAGATGTTTTGACAGCAGTAGAGAGCAGAGGGATGAGCTGCCCAGTCTGCTGCTGCCCCTTCACTGTCCAGTACCAGACTGGGGGCGGGGAGGTGACCCAGCTGTGCCGCACTAACTGCAATAGAGAAAAGTCAGGTCACCAATTTAGCTGGGATCACTAACTCTCAGAACTGGATGGACAGAAATCCAACAAACCCTTCGGCAGGTAAAATGGCTCCCATACAATGAGGTGGGTATTCACAAAGCTGCCGAAGGCATCTGACTGAATAACCCAGCCGAAGTGAAGTGAGCCGAACAACGTTCGGATATTAACTCCGGCTCAGTACGGCTGATTGCACCCGTAAATCTGAAGGCTGAAATCAGGCGTATGTTCGGTCAGCCGAAGTGCAGAGGGACTTCGACTCAGCCGATCCAACATCTGGATCGGCTGAGCCGAAGCTCAGGCAGCTCATTCACTGCCATTCACCCCTATTCTCATAGGGGCCGAACGCCAGTGAGTGAATAGTCGAATGCCGCCAAGTGGACACTTCCACTGTCACTTCGACTCAGTCGAGCCAAAGCATATGCCTTCGGCTTGGCTGAGCCGCTCGGGCTATTGTGAATGCCCCGTACAGCAGCCCTTTGGTTCGACTGAACCAAAGGGCATAGGCCAGGGGTCAGCAACCTGAGGCTCCGGAGCCGCATGTGGCTCTTTCATCCCTCTGCTGTGACTCCCTGTCCAGGGGCGGAACTACCGAAGGGGCCTTGCTGAGAAAGTGTTGAAATGCTTTACCTATTGGCAGTCACACATTCCAAGGCCAAAAAACTGGGCGGGATTACATTGAAATGTGTGACCACGTCACCGGTCACACATTGTAACGCAGTCACAAACTTTGATAGAACACCGCCATGAGGGGGGTACGGCCGCTACCCATGTGAGGGCCTCTTCTATCAGCTGTACCAGAGATGGCATTAGGGGAGGGGGTGGAGGAGGCCAGGCCCCAGCAGCAGCAGGTAATAGGAGTTAGGAGGAGGCAGAGGGAAAGGGACCCCGGCGACCAGCCCACCTCAGGCCCTGCAGAGCCCACCATAGAGAGCCTCAGATGGGCTGGGCAGGATCTATGGTGTGCTCTGAGCAGTCCAAAGAGAGCCGAAGCTACGTCTGTATCCTTCGGCTCCATAGTGAATAACCCCCTATATGTTTTTAATTGTGTATTCATCTGTTGGCTTGAACTCAGTTTTAATCTGCTATGACTACAGGCTTTTTAAGGATGTGCATTCACTTTCAATAGTGACACATGGACATCAATTCGCAAAGCCATGTGACTTTTTATGCTTGATATCTTGTGAGAGGTTTCGGACCAGAATGTTCAATTCACAGAAATGAATATCACCCCGGAGTGGAATCTTTATTCTTTACAGGAAATGAACATTTAACTATTGAAAGCTTCCATGACATTTCCTCACAGGGTCTTGTTTTATTACCACCCTAAATGGCTCCTTTTTATTGCTTTCCTCAATAGACACTTGCTAACTCCAGTGAAAGGCTAGCAGAATTTTTAGGTGTCCTGAGCAACCCCCTCTGCTCCCCCGCCCCCCCCATCCCCATATTGTCAGTTGTAGGAGGTTCTACACTGTGAGTCAATTAATTTATATTGTAACTTACATGGCTGCAAATCTAACAGACTTTCAGGCACTGGGAGCTGAAGCCACGGGAGAGGGTGCTTAGGCAGCTTAGAGGAGGAAGGGGTCAATGAGTCAACCTCTGAAGCATGATGATGCTTATTCGTGGTCCAGTGAGCAGAAGGTGACCGAGAAAGCTGCATTGCTGCAGATGTAAATAGTGGTGTCACCATTCTGGATAAGCAGCGTAGGTAACAAAACTGGATGAAAAGAATTTGGATTATTTGATTGGTTAAAGCACATTGTATGTGCAGCCATTGGCTGACATTCTGCTTTAAATAAGCTGTGGGCCCACTGTGTTTTACCTGCTTGTTGATTTTTTAAAGTAATTGGCAAAACATCCTAAATGTGCATTTTATTTCCTTTAATTCACATAAAACCATTGCACGGGGTGGTTTCTTGATTAAAGAGATACTGAAAATAATCCATATAGTTCTTTTTCAATTCTTCCCACCCTCAAGAATCATTGACTGCTACTATACATTTGAGCATTATAGAAAACACATTAGAGCTGAGCCTCTAAACCCAATAAAAAGTTATTCATGGATTTATTGATTGATTGATAACAAGGAACAATTTATAAACGATCTGTGATGTTTGCTGTGTGTGCCCTCTTGTGGCCAATTGAAGTAATGCAATTTCTATCAACTTTACTGGTGATCATTAAATTATTGCTAGAATGAATTATCAGGACAGCACTTGTAGCACAAATATTTAAGAGGAAAAAAAAAGTATATTCTATATACACCAAAAAGAACATATGAACTTTTAAAAAAAGGAAACTTTCAGGGCTATTCACAAAAGGGTGAAGAGTTTGGAGAATGCAGGAGAAGTGAACAATCTCTAGGACAGCATAGCTGATTTGGAAAAATTCTCCAATTCCTTTTGTGAATAACCATGTGTGTGTGTGTGTGTGTGTGTGTGTCTGCTCCTCTTCAGCATTTTGGTGCAAAGCAGGTTGGAATCAGGAACTTTAAAATATAATAAAAAGAACTCTGCTCTAGCAAGAGTTTTCCTTCCTGTGCTTTGTGTTTCAGGTTGATACAGCAAACCTCCAATGACTCTCAATGAAGGAGGGGGTCACTGATGGCGAATTATTTTTGAGACCAGCTCACCTATTAGCAGTTGTCTCATTTTTAGGAACTGTGAGAAAATTGTCAAAGTATACAGTATGTCTGAGCCAAATAATAAAAAGTATTCATTACATCTCTGCAATATACGCACATTTCCTTGTGCTTTGTCAATGTAAAAGTGCTGCACATACAGCCAGAAATCCAGTGAGCTGCTAACTTCCTGTGCACTCTGCCTCTGTCGCAATGAAATGCCAAGCAGTGTTATCAGCCCATGAACTACAGAATACTTCTTTAGGTTATACAGATGGGGGGGCGCGTTGTAACCCTAAGAAACTTCCCGTGCCCAGGTGGCAATGCTGCAGCTCCATAAATACAGTACAGTGAGTGAGGGTTGTCACCCTAGGGCAGGAAGTGTCTAACCAGGCAAAAATAAAGTAAAAGCCTTGGAAACAGAAAACGAAAGCGGCCACCACATCTGAGAACTGGTAAGCTGCAATGTATTATATATTTGTGCACTTTAGTAGCTCGTATTTACAGATCTAAACAGCTCCGTCTGTAGAAAATAGAAATATGGTGTCCTAGGCCAGAGTTCCTCTTCAATTTCAATTGGCTGCACAGCTAAAATCTACTGATTGGTTGGTATGTTTAAGAGCACTTTCCACACTTTTGCATCTTGTCATTATATAGCCACCTATCGGCTTGTCAAGCACCATGTATGGACATAATGTAGCAGTTGCCTGTAACCATTTTGGGGCTTTAATATTTTTGGAGATGGCAGAATCAGATTGCTAGCAGCTATTCACTGAGGCACATTGGAGTTCTCCAACTCTTTGTGCCTTAGAGGTGTCAAAGTATATTTGATAACATACAGTAGGTAGCATCAATTCATTGGTTATGGTAAGTGCCGGGCTTGACAAGTCTGGTTTGCAGGCTTAGCCCTATCAGCCCTTTGGTGTGGGATTTCTATATAAAACTTAAGTCTTTTTTCATACCGTGGTTACTCTGCGGTACGATATTCCCCAAGTTGAGAACCGCCCAGCTCTTCTACACATGTGTCATAATTAGGCCATGCCAGAGATGCCTGTACAGCTAAACATTCCTTCCAGGTGAGGGCATAAATCTCTTATGAGGTCTGTGCATAAGAATTTAGAGGTGCTCAGCTGGGGTAAGACACCCCTACAGCACAATCATAGTATATAAAAGACTTGGGAAATCTATACCAATGGGCTGCCAAGGGGAGAACTGGCACCTGGATTGAGGTCTGTGCAAAGGAATTTAGAGGGGATCAGCTGGGGTAAGACTCCCCCTCCCGTACAATTATAGTATATAAAAGACCTGGGAAATCTATACCAATGGGCTGCCAAGGGGAGAACTGGCACCTGGATTGAGGTCTGTGCATAGGAATTTAGAGGTGCTCAGCTGGGGTAAGACACCCCTACAGCACAATCATAGTATATAAAAGACCTGGGAAATCTATACCAATAGGCTGCCAAGGGCAGGACTGGCACCTAGATTTGTTGAGCCCTACTAGTGTATAATACAGTACATTTTCATACAAGCAGGTAATGAGCACCCGTGGTGAGTTTGCTTCAAGAAAGTTCAGAAGTAGCCAAGAGCCACATACAGGTGAAACTCGAATAATTAGAATATGGTGCAAAAGTTCATTTATTTCACTAATGCAACTTAAAAGGTGAAACTAATATATGAGATAGACTCATTACATGCAAAGCAAGATAATTCAAGCCGTGATTTGTCATAATTGTGATGATTATGGCTTACAGTTCATGAAAACCCAGATCCACAATCTCAGAAAATGTTTGGCAGTGTGGGCAGGTGCCAAGTCCTGCTGGAAAATGAAGTCAGCATCCCCATAGAGCTCGTCTGCGGAAGAAAGCATGAAGTGTTCCAAAATCTCCTGCTAGACGGCTAAGTTGCATTAGTGAAATAAATGAACTTTTGCACGATATTCTAATTTTCCGAGTTTCACCTGTATATCTCCTCATAAGCGAATGGTTGGGTACCATACTTACGGATCCAGGTCATTAACTTGTAACAGCTGATCCGAGATAAAACCGGTGGAGTCTGTTCCTCTCGGGTCTGTTCCTTTATTTAAAAAAATGTGGTCATTACATTTCAGAGTGAAAACCACAAGTCTCTTTCAGTCCTGAAATCGGTTCAGCATCTGACATGTCCCCTTATCAAGCATGTCTCTGACCTTCCTCAGTCTCTTCTCACTAGCTGGCCGGACATAGCTTGAGGGTGCCAGTAAAGCCATGCCATCCTGTACCTCCCCCATAATCAAAAGTGGATTGTCCCCTAAACCTGCAAGATTGGTGCAGGGGCACGCCCCTCCTCCTCCACCACCCTCTCCCATGGTGACCTCAAGATACTTGGTATGGAAAAGACGAAGACCCATGTGGTCGTCTTTTAGCACCTCTATGAGAAGAACACGAAGCACTCGTTCTTCTCCTGAATCTTCCAGCCTTCCCACAATGACAAAATCACTTCGGCACAAACTGGGCACCAGCTTTCCTCGAAGGTGACACCCATGGCACTGCTTGGCCCGTGGCAAAGGGCAACGATCTTCACAGGCCTGCCTACTTTCAAAGTTATTCTGATTTCCATGGCAGCCACCATAAATGAAAGAGAAGCACTGGCGCATGAGAGGGCTGTAGACCCACCTCCATTCTGGAGTCTTACACGTACCCCTTACAGGCGGCAATGAACAAGGATCTGGTGGTCGAGTGTGACATGATGCACGACACTCTTCATAGGCCTGAAAGTTGTTAGCAGGGCCTGGACACCCCTTATGAAGAAAAGTTTGACAGTCACCAATTTGCGAATCGTGGAACCAGCGTAGGACTCGAGGACCTAGGCACTCTCTGAGTTCTGGGAGCTTTAGGCAATCAGAGGGAAGGACTAGCCGCTGGTGTCCTGAACTTGCTGTGGTGGTCCCTTTCTTGACAACAGAAAGGGGGAACTGAGCACGCAGCAGGCCTGCAGAGTTTCGGGCCATGCAAACATAAATGCCAGCATCCTCTGGACGTGCATTGTAGATGACCAGTTGGCCAGAATTGGTTACAACGAGGTTTCCATACATCTGGTCTGGCCTCATAATTGGTGCTGAGGGACCATCTCCAAGTTTCTCCCATAGGATTTCTGGACGTGGGCGCCCACTAGACTCACATTGTAGCCCTACAGTACCACCTACTATAACCGACTGTGGGTAGGGTGAATGGTACAATGCGGGAGGCACAGGCATTTCTAGGGGAGTGGAAGGCTGGGTAGTCTGAGGGGTAGTCTCAGAAGGTGCTGAAGTGGTGGCCGGCCAGGATGACACAAACTTGCAGGGCACCTCCACTAAGGTTATGCCCCTAGCACAAGCCTCAGCATCCATGTAGCAGCGATTGTAGTAAGTGAGCCCATCCGAGGCACAAGTGAAGCCTGGTTGCTTTCCACATCGCTCCCGACAGCGGCACACTGGACGTCCTTCCCACATCTCACAGTCAGAACCCTGCTGAGTGCAAATAAACCCAGAGCAGGTGGCAGGGCGGAGAGAGCCAGGGGCCTGCAAGCCAGAGTCAGGGTATCGGGCGGCCACACAGCTTCGTTGTCCACAGACATTTGTGCAGCATTTCTCAAAAACTTCACACTCCTAGAAGAAGAAAGAAACCATAACAGAGACATGTATGATATTCATTAAGTATGCATCTGGTCCATCCGGGGAAAGCAGGACAATGTGAACCCAATCAGGTGACAAAGAAGTAGAATGTAAAGCATGCCCTGCCATGGCAACTGATCAGTGGCTATTGTTTGGTGGGCACGGTAAAGGACATGGATTATAGTGCTATGGTGCCTTATTGTTTGGTGGGCACGGTGCAGGACGGGTGTTCCTAAAACATACAAGTCTGTCATAAGAATACGACACATCTTATTGGAAGATAGATCATAATTATAACAAAGGATACATTTGCAAAATATTATATATATACATATATAACAAAAACGGAGTATTGCAGTGTGCAATGATACCTTTCTTATTGGACAAACATATTATATTTAAAACCTTGGTTCTCAACTAGAGGGTCGTGACCCAAAAGTGGGTCGCGACTCTGTTCAGTGGGTCGCCACATGCCTTCCACTTTTCTAGGTGAGAGGCTCCTCAGCCTCCCCCTAGCACAGCACTGTCCGTTCTCGCGCCAATCAGCCATTCAAAATATGCTGCCCAGCCCTGCGTGCCAGCTTGCGGTAGGGTGGGCTCCATCCATACGTGCATTGCTTACAGCTCCCTTGCATGTCCTGTAGAGGAGCCTGGACCGGAGTGATGTAACATACTGGCTCTTGGCACCTCTACAGGGCGTGCAAGGGAGCTGTACCAGCAATGCACATACTGTATGGATGGAGCTCCGTCACAGCGCAGCAGCCCACACCGGACCCCAGGCTGAGGATCCACTTCAGTTCTCATAAGGTAGAAAGACTGGGTGGATCTTAAAAAAAGAACATTTTTTTTTTTTTTGGAGTGTGTCTGTGGTTGTGTGTTTTTGAGGGCCCATTCACACTGGTACAGTGTGTTCATCGCACAGTCCTGTGTGATTAACGCACCTACATTTTGGTGTGAGAAGTGCATTGCATTGCCATTCATTTGAATGGCCCCACGAATGCACCTCCCACCCACAGTTCTATTGCCCGTATCAGAACGCGCAGTACCGCAATGCCGTGCGTTCCATTGCAGTGCAACTTGGGTCACGACTTAATAAAGGCCCCTTGGTGACCTCCTGTCATGCCGATCCCTAGTGTGTCACTGACGCTAAACAAGCATGCAGACCAAGAGAGTCCTCCTCTGCATACTGATTCTGGGTTAGTGCATCAAAGCATTTATTAAAGAGAGCTGGTGAGACAGCCAGGCACTCAACATTTTCAGAATGAGGTCAGCAATGGTGGCATCTCTCACAAGCCTTGGTTTGTACAGAAAATGAACCATTTCTTACCTGATCGGCTCGGCATTCCCTTTCACAGGTACTCTGGGCGTCCACCCACAGGTTGGCGTTCAGCTGGTTGGGGCAGATCCCGAAGTGCCCTCTGGCTGGGATTAGGTTGGCGCCTTGTGATGCCAGGCAGAGCTGTACAAACCAAATGACCGGCCACATCTCGCTTCACCTGCCAGCCCTCTTATATGATCTCCAGGATTATGTATAGCCTGTGTATGTCCTTCTCATAGCCTATGTGTGGCACATGTATGGAGGCGGTAGACTCTTCACAATGTGGGTGCAAACATGCCATAGTTCTATGTTTAAGTGAAGTCTGGCATGATGACGGCACGTGTGCCCGTGTACGATGCGTATTTGTTGGACGTGTACATTTGATGAACACAAACCGACATGTGTATTACACGGGCTGCAGGTTAGTATGTACACAGGTATGTGTATAGGGGGTCTACAATAGAAGTACAGCTGGTATGTACCTGAGGTAGCTACCCTTTCATGGGCATGTTGCTAGAGGTGTCACAATGCTACCCCTGGCATTGCAGAGAGAGGGAGAGATGAAGGCATCCTGTGGGCACAGCCTCCAGAGAAATGATGTCTGACGTGCCAAAGATTTTCCTCCCCTGTTCTCCTCCCTCCCGCCCCTGGCTGTGGGACAGGATAACTTTCTAATAAGCCGAGTCCAGGATGGGAGGGGGCAGCAAGCCCTGTGTGTCTGTGGAAGGAGAGGGGGGTAGTGTGTCTGTTTTTACAGGGAGACATGGGGACAGCGAGGAGGAGTGGCAGGCTGATGGTGCGTAGACACAATGTGATAGTACCCAGGTCAGGAGCAGGGGGCATCTCTTGGCCATTGTCACAGCGGGCAGCACAGGTGGGGGTATCAGTGGTACAGAGGCGGCGGTGTGCCCCACCGCTTAGGAAGATGAGTCTTTGTTGTCTGTAACAGTTGCTGTGCGAGCCAGACAATGCAATGGAACTTGCAGCCCAGACGGTGGCAGGCACAGCTTACCATGCAAGCATGGTGCCATGGCAGGGTGCCCGTGTAGTCAGTGACAGAGGCACAGGGTGCGCTAGAGACAGAGACATACTTGTCTACATGTGTGTGTGGCAATGAGGTGTGCAGGGTGAGAGGGAGGAGGATGGGGGCAGCTCAGCCATAGGGGTGGGTGATGGGGAGTAACCCAATTCCACCCCTTCACTCCTTTTCATTCACACTGAAAGGCCCGCCTCTTCCAAGGGCCACCAAGCCATGCCGAGCACTTGATGCAAATAAAATATGTCCAAAAAAATCTGTAATAATCTAATAAAAATAATTTGTAAAAAACGAAACAAAAACAATCATTTTTAAAAAAAATAAAATAAAATGTGTGTAAATAAGCATCTAAAATAATTGAAAATAATTTATAAAATAAATAATAATTTGTGAAAATAAGCATATATAAAAAAAAGCATATAAAAAAAATTGAACAAAAATAATTTGTGAATTTTTTCTGTGTGTAAATAAGCATCTAAAAAAATTTAATAAAAATAATTTATAAAATCAATTTGTGTAAATAAGCGTATGAAAATTGTACAAAAATAATTTAGAAAAAAATGAAACAGGTGTGTAAATAAGCATCTAAAAAAAACCACCAAACAATTAAAACTTTTTATTCCTGGCTGCACGTCTTCCTGGTTCCAAGTCTTCCTAGCTGCACGTCTTCCTGGTTCCAAGTCTTCCTGGCTGCGCGTCTTCCTGGTTCCAAGTCTTCCTGGCTGCACGTCTTCCTTGCTGCGCGTCTTCCTTGCTGCGCGTCTTCCTAGTTCCAAGTCTTCCTTGCTGCGTGTCTTCCTGGTTCCAAGTCTTCCTAGCTGCACGTCTTCCTTGCTGCGCGTCTTCCTGGTTCCAAGTCTTCCTGGCTGCGCGTCTTCCTGGCTGCGCGTCTTCCTAGCTGCACGTCTTCCTGGTTGCGCGTCTTCCTGGCTGCACGTCTTCCTGGCTGCGCGTACCATGGAATTTGCTGGGCCCCTCCCACAGCTCTGCTGTCTGCACAGGCTATGTACAGCACAGTGATGATGTCACTGATACTTGTACAAGGTAATATCTGGGGTTGTGGGATTTATATCCTGTGTGGTTATTGAGAAGTATATTTGAAATGCAGCTTTTTATGGGCGGAGTTCAGCTTTAAAAAAAAAAAAGTGCAGGGACGTCTTTGGTGTCATGTGTTGGGCGGCCCATTGGATTGAACCCCCTTTCCCATGCGTGCCTGTGCGTGTGTGTATGCATGTTCATGTGAGGTTGCCCTATACACAACGCACCAAAAACTAGCCTGCACGAGAGTACACGGAGCTGGGACCAGCAGGCAGATCAGAGGGAAGTCAGAACTAATCTGCATCCTTGTTTCAGGTAATTGAAGCCATGGGATCAGCATGACAGCCAGACACTTGGTATTATCAGAATGTCCTAACAACCTCTATAGTTTTCCCATTGTGGGCCCTTCAGACCTTTACGGCCAATTGCAGTGTGTTACCCCACGCATGTCGACTGCTATATCATCTCTATGGGCTGCCCATGGCCAGCAATGCCCCATACTGACCTGCAGCCAATCACAACACACGATACTGCTGGGAACATGCTTGTCCTTGCGTTGGGATTGTGTTCAACAAAGCAGCCCAGCGCAAGTGGTGTAAACTATTCCTCACAGCTGAATTCCAAAGAGCTGCACACAAAGGAAATCCACAGAAGGGGGATGGTGTATCTGCACTTCTGTCCGCACAGTCCTGAGATTTACACAGCTCTGCCACACAGCACACTCCTTCTCGGCAGCACAGCAGGCCTGATCTATACGTGTAGTCTGCTCCCCACCCCCACCCTGTGACTGGACAGTGAAAGATAAAGCAGCACATTAATAATCTCTGACACTCTGCTCTCTGCTGCTATCAGTGTGCTCTTTGCATGCCTGACTAGCTCCATGTGCTGCTTCTCCACTCTTTGAGTGCAGCAGTGCCCAGTCTTTATTCCAGGAGGGGCAGAGACAAGACCAGTCACCCTGCACAGAGAGAGAGAGAACAGCAGTGACCGGTCTTTATTACAGGAGGGGGTGGAGACAAGACCAGTCACGAGAGAGAGAGATAGATATATATGACCGGTCCTTATTACCGGAAGCTCCTGCAGAGAGTTGAAACACACCAAGGGCTTCATGCATAAAACCAGAGCCCCTAGGTGGCGCTGACGAGTATACAAATGTCTTATACTCATCAGCGCCATCTAGTGGCACTAGTGGAATTTTGTATACATGAAGCCCTTAGATTCCAGAATACACATCTTGTATATTATTATTATTCAGGGCTCATATAGCGCCAGCAGTTTGCACAGCAAGTACAATAGCATACAAAAGGAAGGATTAGAGGACGCTGCCCATGAGAGCTTACAATCTACAAGGAGGGGGGGTGTACTCAGAGAACACTCGCTCACCCCGGAGTTCTGCTTTAAAACACCACCACCAATATAATATTTTCTATTTCAGAATTGGACTTCAAAGCGATCTTTGTTGAAGGCAAAACCTTCCGTTCAGCATCGCGATCTGCCCCAGCGAGGGACTCCCAGCTATGGGAACGCTGTGAAATGGCAGCTAATCTCCCGTATTGGTTCCGCTGTGCTGCGCAGCCGCGTCTCTTTCTGAAGTCATGACAGATCTGAGATTTGTGTGTCATTCCAGACATCGCCGATATTCACATGCATCAAATTTATGTTGCGTGCAGTCCGCGGGCGCAGCGAGGTCCATCTGCTCTCCCAACGCAGGCCTGGCGACCCCATGTTCGCGAACAATAGCGCTCTCTTCTCCATTTTCCACGTCTTGCCAATTATACGGAACGTTTATAGAACTATTACCGGGACAAAAACCCAGCTGTGGCCTGACATGAATATTTGGCGTAGACCCCGAGGGGGTGTTAGGGGGGAGGATGGAGATGATGTGTTGTCTCAGGACTCACACACGTGTCCTATAGAGCATTGAGATGTGAGCGAGGAGGCCCAGACCCAACCAGGGAATTGGAGGTCAGGGGTCAGCCTGAAATGGACAAATATCCAACCTTTTCATGAGACGAGCCGCTGGGGAGAACAATGGGACGGCCATTGATTGATGAGCGCCCCGTCTGGGAAGAGCGCATTGGTTTCAATAATGATCACATGTTTTATCCTTGTTTGCCATCAATGGGGATGCTGGGCGTTCATCGGGAATATGAATGATAGATCTGGCTTTGTGCTGGAGAAAGATTCGCCCTGCATTAAACCGCACAATAGTGACCCGTTCAAAGACCGCACTGGCCCTAGAAACCTCTTCAGTTCTTTCTCTTTTTGGTCTGATGCATAAACCTTTATAAAAATGTATATTTAAAGCTCAACTCCGGGCAAAAAAATAAACCCTAATCCATTTCTCAGTAGTCACAAAGGATATAAATCCACTTTGTTTGCACCAAATGCCCTTGTAAATCTAGATATGATCTTGTAAAAGGAGCAGTGACATCACCATTGTGCTGTACATGAGCAGAAGCTGTGGGAGGGGCCCATCAGGCTCCACCCACTACAAGGTGCCTGCAAAAAATCTAAAGAAGGGGGCTGAGACAAGACTAGTCTCCCTGCACAAGGAGAGAGAGCAGCAGTGACTGGTCTTTATTACAGGGGGGGCGGAGACAAGACCAATCACCCTGCACTAGGAGACAGAGGAGCAGTGAGCGGTCTTTATTACAGGAGGGGGCGGAGACAAGACCAATCACCCTGCACTAGGAGACAGAGGAGCAGTGAGCGGTCTTTATTACAGGAGGGGCGGAGACAAGACCAGTCCCCCAGCACTAGGAGAGAGAGGAGCAGTGACTGGTCTGTATTACAGGAGGGGGCGGAGAGAAGACCAGTCACCCTGCACAAGGAGAGAGAGCAGCAGTGAGCGGTCTTTATTACAGGAGGGGGCGGAGACAAGACCAAGCTCACCAAGATTCAATGAGGAATACACAGGACTCTTGTATGAGGACAATGTCTGCTTATCCGGGAGTTCAGCTTTAAAGAAAACTGATCATATGAAAGTTAACATTACTAGTTGCATGGCTGTCATCCTATCCTCTGGCTTCAGTACTGACCTGGAACAAATATGCAGATCAGGCATTCCGACTTCACTTGCTGCATGCTTAATACAGATCAACAA